TGAAACTGGTCCCTCATGCCGAAAAGGCTGGGAACCGCTGCTCTAGATTATGAACCTTCCAAGTGCAAGAATCTTGTTTAATTCATTTTCTGTCTTTATTCGGAGGAGTGAATTGAGTGCAAAAATTCTTCCCTCACCCCACATCCACCTATGCAAAGTGTCTGTTGTGGATTTGTATTTTGTTAAATTAGCTAAGCCAGAACTATTGTTTCCTAGAATTCTGTTCCCTGTGTACTTAGAGGTCAGTAGGTCACAAAAGACGTTTTAAAAGACAGAAGTGAGGAAGCAGCAGCAATATTCCTTGTCATGCCTGAAAGAGGTTCTCTGACTCCCAAGCCAGGTATATGCTTAGCCCCATGAAGAAGAAAGCCAGCTTTTCCTGCAATTCACCCATCACTGAAGTTAGATGCTGGAGGACAAAAAGAAACTTCTATCAGTGGGGACCATTCTCACAGGCTCCAGTTTCTCCTTCTTTTTCAACTTCACATCCATCTTTCCTTCCTGACTTCATTCATTATCTGCAGACTTCAGGCTTCAGTACCAGACACAGAAGCAACAGTCTTTCGCAGACCATTTACTCAACTATATAATATTTATAAACACAAGTAGGCTTTATCTATGTGCTTGTTTATGTATTTATTTAGCCTTCTAGTGATTCTGATCCTCGAATAGAACTAGTGGACAGAAGGTCTTTGCAATTCCTCCTCACTCTTTGAATCTGGGTTGTCTTTGTGAGTCTGGGTAAATCAAATGAGGCATATGTGACAGGGCCCAGTTCTGAGCCTAGGCTTCAAGAGGCCTTGCACATTCTCTCGCCTGAAACTCTGGGATTACCATGTGAACAATCCTGGGCTAACCTGTTAGAGGATAAGAGACTCCTACATGAAGGAGAGCCTGGTTGTCCCAGCTAAGGCTATTGAAGACCAGCCTATAGTCAGTTGTCCTGTCAAAATATGAATGAGCCCAGACAAGATCAGCAAAGCTGCCTGCCCCAACCCCCTACATGGCCACTGTGGATGTCTCAGCCCAGCTGAGACCAGACCCACCCAGTTGACCTAGAGTTGACTGTGCAGTAGACCTCGAGTTGACTGTGCAGTAGACCTCAAATGCAGATTGTTTTAATCTACAGGCTTTTGTGTTTTTCCCATGATAATGGCTAACTGATGCATCCAGTATATTAATTTTTCCTTCTTTTGTTGTGAAATATAACACACATGCAGAGAAGTATATAAACCATATGTAAGTCTAACTAGTAATTATGAAGTGAGCATACATGTTCACCACCTAGGTCAACAACCATCACTGAAAAAGGCCCCCACTTTTCCCACCCTGTGTTGCTTCTTACTTACTACTCCATCCTTCCCTACTTTCCTGACTATTGAGATAATCAATCATTCCTTTTTAAAATATCTTCACTATGTATAAAGGAAAATGGGATTTAGTTTTGCTTACTATCAGCCTTTATGTCTATATAATTTCTTTTCTGCCTAGCTTCGTTTGCATAATGTTTGTAAGATTCCTCCATGTTGTCCTGTGTAACTGAAATCTGTTCATTTTCATTGCTTTGTTATGTCTCATTTTATGAGTATGCTCACATTTATGGGGTATATCCGGTTGGGACTATTACTAGACTTTGGCTTTAAGTATTCTTGTATTCCAGTATACCTGTGCATGAGTTTCTCTAAAGCAGTGGTTCTCACATTTTTTGGCTTTGGAATCTTTTAAAAATTGAAGATTTAAAATTTTAAAAATTCAAATAAAAAGTATTAAGATGTGAGATATCTTAAAATATTTATTGATAATTCATTAAAAATAACAATAATCCCATTATATAGTGCATTAATTTCCTGAGGCTCCTATAACAAATTACCACAAACTCAGTGGTTTAAAATAACAGAAATTTATTCTCTCACAGTTGTGAAGTCCAGAAGTCTGAAAGTAAGACTTCTTTCTGGAGACTCTGAAGAAGGAGCTGTACTAAGCCATACCCCTAGCTCCTGGTAGCTATGGGCAATCCTTTCTGCTCCCAGATTTGTAGACACGTCACTCCAGTCTGTGACTTTGTCTTCACGTGGCATGCTTCCCATGTGTCTCTATATCTGCATATCAAATCTCCTTTTCCTTTCCAGTCATTGGATTTGGGGCCTACCCTAAATCTGATGATCACATCTGAGGTCCTTAACTTAATCACCTTCAAAAAAATCCTATTTTCAAATAAGATCATATTCACAGGGATGGAGGGTTAGGACTTGGACATGTGTTTTTTTGGGGATGCAACACAACCCGCTATATATGTTTTCATAATAACACATCTTTTGATTTTAAAAAACTATATTTTCCAAATAAAAATTTAGTGAGATTGTTTTTTCCAAATAAAAATGAAGCTGGGTACTCATTTCCTTGTACATTCAATCTGTTATGATATGTTGTTTTGGTTAAACTATAATAATGAAAATCCAGCCTCACAAAGGGTTTCAGAGACCCTCAGGGGTCTTCAGAGTAACAGAACCAATGCTCTAAAGTATATACTCTAAAATATATGTAAGGTGGAATATTTCCAGGCTATCTCTCTCTTTCCCTCCATGTGTGTATGCATGTATATACTGGGGATGCAAAAAAAGGTATACACATTTTAAGCGATGTTATCTATGTGTTACTTTTAGTTCACCGTAATCAGTTATCATCAGTCTGGACACTGATGATAACTACTTTGAGCACCTCTTGTAATTACAGAAGTCAAACATGACATATTCATCTTTTGTTATTGGTATATATTGTCTTACCATTTTAATACAGTTTTTCCCTTTATTAAAATGTGTATACTTTTTTGGCACCCTCTGTGTATGTATATATATGTATATGTATTTTTATAGGGAAAATGGAGGTTGGTGGGCCAGTACCACAGGAATAAAGCACAGAATTGCAAAGGCAAAGCAAAAGAGTTTATTCACATTCAGGACAGATTGAATGGAACCAACGTTAAGAGTATGATATAGGATGTGGGAAGAGAGTATATTTAAGGCATTTACAGGGAAGCAGGACTAGGAAAAAACTCCAGCAACTGTGTCCTTGGGAATTAATAACATGTCTTGTGTCTTGATGCCATCAGGACAACACATCCTGTGACTCCAGAAGGTGGTGGGCTGGTGTGCTGTTACAGAAGCCTGATCACAATACACTAGATCAGCTTGACCCTTATGGGTAGAAAAACAAATACTTGAAATAGAGGGGTGATTAATATAGAGCATGTTTGGGAGATGACAAAAAATCATCAGTATTTACCTCAGGAAACTAGTTCTTCCTTCTGTTAATGATTAGATGGTTGACAAAGTGATTTACTTATGGAAGCATAACAAAGCAAAGTTATGGCCAAAATGGCCGTGCTATAGCTAAAGTGACTCCATGTTGGCATGTCACCCTTTCACATATATACATGTATACTGTATGCATACGCATGTATATATTATGTATATATTTTCTACTTTTTAAGATAATGGCATATTGTTTTACAAAAAGGTTGTGCCAATGTACATTTCCACTAGCAGTGTATAAGAGATTTTGTTGTTCTATATGCTCACTGTTATTATTACACTTAAAATGTTTTTGCCTATCTGGTGGTATATAATTCATTGTGATTTTAACCTTATTTATTCATCTTTTTTTCTGTTCGTATTGCCATTTTATGTGTGAAGAAACTAAGATTTATTTAAAAGAGGAATGTTATCAGTCCAAAAGTCACAGAGTTTTAAATAGAACCCACGTTTTTCTACTTTCAAATTCAATCTTCTTTCCACTCACCAACACAACAAGTATTTCTGTTTCTGGCCCAGTTTTGGGAAAGTTTAACCTCTCCCAAATCTCCTCTCAGCAATCAGCAATTTAGGTCCTTGACTTCAGGTCTTCTCCCTTCCTTTCTCCACTGTGGAGGCTTTGGGTACCCCAAACTCCTGAAGGATTGCAGAACAGCTCTGCATCTCCCTCCCTTCATAGCCCTCAATGTAGCACCCCCACCCCACCCTCTCACTTCCCTGTCTAGCTTCTTCCTATCTACTTCTCTTTTCTTCTCATACAACCCTCTACTCACCCTCTGCTGATTGGACTTCCACTGTGATCATTTATTTAAAAAAGGATAATATCTAATGTGTGTTTATATGTATGAGAAAATGTATAATTAACTACAAGAAACACCACCTGTTAGCATCTATTATTAATATTACCTACTACTATTTTTTAAGCACTCCAACACAAACCAGTGGTATGATCACAGTCAAGTTACTGGCCATTTTTGATCTTCAATTTTCTCAACAGTAAAATAAGCATAATCCCTACCTTATGAGGCTGAATTGACATAATATGTGTAACATGCATAGCACAATGCTTGCTGATAAGGAGTGCTCAACAGATGTTTTATTTTTTTAAAAAAAGTTGTGCTTACTATGTGCCAATCACCTTCCAGTGCTTTTTCCAAATATTGAAACCTTGTAATAATTTTCTGTGGTTTACCTAGGCAGGATATGCAAAAAAAGTAAAAAAGAATACTCTTTTTAAAAAGGTATTATTAGTATTAACCTAATTCTACAGATGCAAAGACTGAGGCAGAGTTTAAGCAACTGGCCCAATGTCACACAGCTAGGATGTGGCAGAGCGGGGATTAGTTCTCCTGCAATCTGCTCTCAGAATACGTGTTATTTGTCCAGCTGTGTTCCCAAATGTTTGTGATTATTTATTATAAAAATATTTATTATTATTTATATATTTATTCTTATGAGAAATATTTATTCATATTATATATGAGGACACTCTGCACATTACAAAGCGCTCTACCACCAAAGATTAGTACCCTAGGGCAAAGCGAGCCCTTTGTCACTCCCTCAACGCTCCACCAGCCCGCAGCTATCACAGGGACAAAAGCCAATGGAGCATCGCAGGCAGGCTGGTCAACAACTCGGAGACCGCACCCCTCCCCTGGCCCTGCCCACTACTTTGACCACGCCCCTCGTCCCAGGCTGCCACGGAGGCAGAGCCGACGCCTCGCGGCCTTCCACGTACGCACTCCATCGTCTGTCTCTCTCTCTCCCCCCCCCCCCAGGGGAAGAGCACATCCGGGTCGCTGGAGCAGGTGCCTCAGGCCCCGCCCCTTCCCTTCAAGCGCCCACCCCCACTTCCGACCGTTTCTGGCCTTTTCCCGTTTTCCTGACGGCTCCTTCTCCGCTTCTCAGGTAGTTCCCGGCCCTTCAGCGCCCTTCACCTGATTGAACCCGGCCGCTCGCTCTCGTCCCGAGTCTCATCGCAGCTCGGAACTGCTCTGTCGGGTGCCTTCTCGGGGCAGCCTGGGCCGAGGCCTGCCGCGCGCGGTGAGTCGGCGCAGATCTGACCCCGCGCCTCCTGGAGCTGGGTAGAGGCCGCCGCCACCGTGTGGGGATGCCGCGGCGGGGGTCCACGCAGTGCTGGGCGGCCGCCGCGGGCCGTTGGGGCTGCGGGCTGTTCGTGCTGCTGCTGCTGCTGCTGCTGCTGCTGGTGCCGGGGCCCAGCGGCGCTTCTGAGTTCACCTTCGAGCTGCCCGACAACGCCAAGCAGTGCTTCTATGAAGACATCGCTCAGGGCACCAAGTGCACCCTGGAGTTCCAGGTACTGCGGGCCTGGCACCGGGCCCCTGCTCGCACTCCAGGGTCGGGGCTGTAGGCTGCGTGATGCCGCCTTCCTGGGCGTGTTTCTCCGTCCCTTGGCTCATTCAAGAATCGTTCCTGGGTAGCTGATGTAGGACATTTGGCTTTCCTCTTCTAAACCTTTAAGACCGAGAGACTGTTAAGACCAGGTATAAAATACATGAATTCCAGGAGTGCTCCTCTACCCGTGACATCATTCGCTAATAGCCTTCATATTTATGGCCTATTGAACTGTCTTCCTTAAAAGATTCCCTTAAAAAAATTCCTTCTGTATTCCTGTTGAGCCAATGTCAACGCCCCGTTCACTCCTCCAGTTTAATTGTATTGGAAGGGCTTCCAGTATCTACTTTCATTGCTTTTCAGTTTTTTTCCAATATTAGGATTATTGGTTAATGCGATCTCTGTCATTAGAAGAGCTTACAGTTTGAACGACCTTTGCCAAAGATGTTGTAGGAAGGATTGCTGTCTTAAAAGAGCGGGTTGGTTACAACAGTCTTGACTCTTTCCATTTTTGTTGGCAGGTGCATTTAACGTTTGAGCAGCTATTGTGTGCTAGGTGCTGGTGATACAGAAATGATCAAATCAGAGAGGGCCCTGCCATCTTTCATGATTTTTCTCCTGCCCTACTCTTTTCAGTTGGTAGCCGCACATTCATCACAACCGTGCTTTAAGAGCACTGAATAGGGCATTTGTGTTCTGGTCTTTAGGACCCCTGAAGGCTTCCCTTTAGAAAGTGTTTTTAAGCCGGACTTTAAAAGATAAGTTGTAAATGCTTTGGTAAAGGAGAAGAGAAAATAGCCTATGGTAGGAGTGAACATTGAGAATTTGAGGGCCATAGACAGTTTCCATATGATTGAAAATAAGGAGCCAGGGGATGGATGTCAGCAGGGTCTAGGCCATATAACTGCTTGCTGACCATATTGAGGATTTTAGTTTTTACTAAGAGTGTGGGAAGCCATCAGAAGGTTGAAAACAGTTCAGTTAGACCAGAATAGCCTTAGTAGCTGCGTGGATAATAACCTGTGCAGGTAGGGAAGGTGTGGTAAGGTGTTGCAGAGTAGACGTGTAAGACTGATTAGGTGGCTCTTGTGGTTGTCCAGGCAAGAATTGTTGGTGGCATAGACTAGGGTGATAGCAATGGGAAAGGAGAAAAGTGAGAGAATTGGGGGGACTGTAGTAGGTAAAATCAGCAGGATCTGGTCGTGATTTGGATCTAGTGGGTGAGGGAGAAGAGGCTAAGGGTGACTCTTAGGCTTGCTTAATTTCCTGGATTAGGGCCAGGGGACAGAAAAGGTAGCAAGAATTGTGTTAAAAAGTGTAAACAAATTCTTTGTTTGAATTTAATAAATATTTCTTGGATTGTTATATGTGCAGACTTGGTAATTGATGCTAAGGATACTTCTACAGTGGCTAAAAAATTCAGCATCTGCTGTGTATAGACAGTATGGTAAGCATTTCAGGTGTATCAGCTAATTCTCAGGAAAGCTTGATATGAAATTGATATAGCTCTTATTTCTTTTTTTACTGATGAAACTGAGGCTTGGATAGGTTAAAATGCCAGGTCACAAAACTTAAAAGTAGCAGAATTAGTTTGCAGTCCCAAGTTAAATTCTTAACTACTTTACTATACTACCTCCCAAAGACTGGCATTGACCTCAGAGAGCTTTCATAGACATATACAGTCATATAATGTGAACTGCAACAGTAAAAGTCCACACTAGGTATAGTGCTGGCAGAGAACAGAACTATCACCAGGGGATACAGGTGAAAGCCTAATGTTAGAGCTGAGTCTGGAAAGGTAAATAGAAGTTGCTCTAGAAGGTGGTAGAAGAGGGAGGAACCCAGGCAGATATGTTTGTGATAGTTCCAGCAGGCCTGAAATTAGCCTGAGCTCTTTTGCTAAAGTTCATGCGTGGAACTGAAATACACTGAATAATAAGAGTTTTGTTTTGTGGTCACAGGTCCAAGGACTTTGGGGGTGGTTTGTACCAGTTTGTTAATATTATTTATTGATACCAGTAAGATTGACAATTTGTACCCAGTCTCAGTGAGCTGGATTACATAGAAGGAATATATTTACGTGACCTGTAGAATATTAAAAAATCCATCTAAGACTCCATTTCGGGTTCCCTGGTTCCAAGATGTTTTCTTCACACAATTGGGTGATTGCAGATCTGAGAGAATGTATCTGGCCACAGACCTCACAGGGGGAAGACAGAGGAGCCTACACCTGACCTCTCCAGACCTCTTGCTGTGAGAAAGCCTTTGGCTGTGATCTTTTATGCTCTTTTTCTGTAATAGACTGTAGATTTGCAAGCATTATCATTTGGGGTCCTGTGATTTTCTTTAGCAAAAAAACCCTGTTGAACTGCCACTGTGAGTATAGATATAAAGCAAAGACTTATTCAGAGATCTTTGGTGATTGGGTATTTAGGAACATAGAATGAGCTATGGTATGAAAGAGATCCTGAAGCTACTTGGAAGAGTATAGGGGAGTAGTATGCCATTGTTAACAGGTTTGGGTTTGTGTGCAGGCCACAGGCAGTTATCAACAGATTTTAAGTGATTGTTCTTTGTGGGGGGAGGAAAGATGGGAAAGTTGCACTCCACCTTCCCACAGACATTTGCCATCATGTTGGGAGGGGGGCTACTACTGGAATCTAGTGGGTAGAGACTAGGCGTGCTGCTAAACATGCTGTAGTGTACAAGAACACAGGATCCTACAAGAAAGAGTTTTCCAAATCAAAATGGGAATGATGCCGAGCTTGAAAAACCCTGGGTTAGAGGGAAAAGAGATTGAGGTTGTGGGAAGACCTTTTAGGAAATTGCGGCAGTAGTCCTATCTGGATTGTGGTTTAGGAATGGGATGAATTTGATAGAGACTGTAAGATTGAGGGATTTCTGTGATCATTTGGATAGGTAGGGATACTTAGTTTGGGATAATCCCCATTTTCAACCATAGGCAACTAGGCAGGTTTAAAGGGGTGCTGTTAACTGAAGTGAAATTACTTGTTAGATGGAAGAGAAGTGAAGTGATTGTCAGTTCTGGTCCTATTTAGTTTTGTATGTGTATGTTTGATTATTCAAAGTACAGTGGTCAAGTATGAATAATTGGGTATGTCAAAATGAAGTTATTTTTACCTGAAGGAAAGGTTATGGGCTTTTCAGCAGGAGAGGGAGTGGTAGATACCCAATTGATAAGACATCTTTATGTCAAAACATTTTGTCTCTCTGTTATTATTTATATTTTTTTACAGTTTTCTAAGTGTGTGATTATATTTCACTTAATCATCAAAATGCTCTTGTAACATAGTTCAGTTAGTCATCATCTCTTTTAATTGCAAAAGGTCGCATAAGTCACAGATCTTTCTTTGAAATCCAAAGGTTGACCTTTCTGTTCTACTTATGTAGAATGTCAATATACTAACCAAGAGGGTTCACAGGCTTGAAAATTACAAGCTTGTGACATCCAATCTCATAGTGGTTGGGCACCCTCAAACCCAGTGTCTCTTCCTCATAATCTCTTTCTCAAGTGGATACCCTCACTCTATGTTTCTTCTCCTGTCTCCTTTCCCTCTTTCTTCCTACTCAATTATTTCTCATGTAAGAAGCCTTTCTTTAATCCTTTCCCTTTTTGTCCCTTACAATACTTGTCCTGTTACCTCAGAAAAAAATCTCTGTTCAATCCAGATGGCCCAACTTGTAACTGATTAAGCATAAACCTCTGAAAGTAGCTCTGCAGTTTTCTTCAGACTCATATCACCTACCTTCAGCCATCCTTTAAATACACGTGCCCTTAAGTACAAGCTTTCCAGATAAAGACTTGTTTGTGTTGTTTTGTTTTGGTTTTCTTTTAATTACAATTGTTTAACTATATTTCGTTTAATCAGTTGTTTCTGCTGGAAACAAAGTTGTAAATGATGGTATACTTTTAGACTAGCTCATTCCATTACTCAACTCATACAAAACAAAATATGTGTCAAATTGTATATAACTGACTATAAAAAAACTTATGGAACACAATCTATTTGTAATTTGGAGGTAAAATGAGCATAAGTTCGATAATAGAAGTATACAGGAGTGTTACACTAAGGCTTGACCTACTTTGCCACTTCTCTGTTGATGTATGTGCCTGGATGATGCTAATAGGAAACTGGGTGAGAAAATTTTTGGAAGAAAAATATTACACGAGAGTAAGCTTAAGGGTTAAGAATATAACTTTGAAGTTCTAGTTCTGCCTCTGCCACTTACTAGATGAGTAGATTACTTATTTTAATATTAGTTTTTCGGTCTGTTAAATGGAAGGAAAAGAATCTTCTATTGTAGGATTGCTGGGAGAATTAACAGATATAATAGTTGTATGTTAATTAGAACAATTGTCTGGCTAGTTCAAAGTGAATAAAAATTCACTCTCTTGCCATGAGGAAACTTGTTCAGTTTCTATGAAGTTCAGTTGAACTGAAATTGCCTCCCAAGTTTCATTCACTGGTGAAAATAAAAAATTGTAAGTTTGTTATGGTAAAAGTCCTTTGCTCATAACTTTATTGCTATTTTAATAGGAAACCTGGTTAATTTTTCAAACTTGTTAGTGCAGTCATCTATTCTTCTTTTAATCTCTTATAGGTGATTACTGGGGGTCATTATGATGTGGATTGTCGATTGGAAGATCCTGATGGTAAAGTGTTATACAAAGAGATGAAGAAGCAGTATGATAGTTTTACCTTCACAGCCTCCAAAAATGGGACATACAAATTTTGCTTCAGCAATGAATTTTCTACTTTCACACACAAAACCATATATTTTGATTTTCAAGTTGGAGAAGATCCACCTTTGTTTCCTAGTGAGAACCGAGTCAGTGCTCTTACCCAGGTAAATAAAAAATCAGCAATATAATGTTGGTATATTTAAAGGGAGGAAAAAAGCATAATTTAATGTCATGCACTAACTCAGTGAGCATAGAATTTTGAGACGAACAGTCTTTAAAACCTATCTTAATTCTTACAGATTAAGCATTTCACTGAGAACTTAAGATTTTTTTTTTTTTTTTGAGTTGGAGTCTCACTCAGTCGCCCAGACTGGAGTGCAGTGGCCGTTCCCAACCACCGCAGCCTCGACCTGCTGGGCTCCGGCGATCCTTCCGCCTCAGCCTTCCGAGTAGCTGGAATTACAGGCATGTGCTACCACGCCCGGCTGATTTTTTGATTTATTGTAGAGATGAGGTCTCGCTGCCCAGGCGGGTCTCGAACCCGCGGGCTCAGGAAATCCACTTACCTCAGCCTCCCAAAGGCACGGGATTACAGGCTGAGCCACCGAGCCCGGCTAGAACTTAAGATTTTATAGTGAAAGTTAAAAGTTTATAAACCAAGCCGGGCTCGGTGGCTCAGCCTGTAATCCCATGCCTTTGGGAGGCTGAGGTGAGTGGATTGCCTGAGCCCACGGGTTCGAGACCCGC